CTATAAAAATAGCTAACCTACTCAGCTAGACTCCAGTACGAGGGGGCAAATCCATCAGTATCCTTGTCCTCTGGAAGGGTAAGTTCGGTATAAAGCCTGTGCTTAGTGAACAATAGAAGAAATACAGCAGGGACAAACTGGACACCCAGGAGGGTCCAAGAGACGGAGACTTTTTTTTTATCATTTAAATGTTATCCAGCATGGTGAAGGCAACTGAGAGCTGCTGCTTCTTTTCTATCCTCCAGAGTCCATTAGGTTTCTAAGTGTATGTGAATCCATCTTGAGCTCTCACATTAGAGATGTAAAGGCCGGAAGCAGCGCAAATAATGAAAAGATTAATGAATATAACATGGAACGGAAGTCCATTCAGAACAATGCCCAAGGATGAACAATAGACAAGGCTTTTCCTGGCTGTTAACAGTTTACAGTTGTGCTCAATGTCTTATTTTATTATTCTAAATGCCTATGAATACAAAAATTATAAGATTATTTTCACTCAGGCTAAACATGACATATGTTCCATGACAGACAAAAATTGTTACTGTAAATAAAATGTAAAATAAAAGAATGTGAATTATCCTAATTCATCCAATAAATGTTATCAATCCGTTTAAACTCAGAAAGTGCATTTATACAGGCTATTAGATGCTGCATTCATGAACCACAAATTAGAGAATCCCAATTTTGATGCATTAAAAGACTTTATAATAAAATTACATGATTATTGCTTTCAATTAGTTTAGCATTAACCTGTAAATTGTTTATTTTCTTAAAAATTACCTACCATTTTATTATTGTTCTCCTTTTTCGTTTTTATTTGAGATGATGCAGTTCAATACTTGTATCCGATATTTGCTCCGATATTGACTTATTAACTGGATTGGATATCGGAAAATTCTGATTCAGTCATTCTTAGAATGTTGCTGCTTTTTGTAGTAAAAAATACTACAAACAGCAACACAGTTGCAATGATCTAGTCAATTTATTTCTACATTCGTAATGCTGGCTATATCACGACGCACAGCACGCACAGCAGCTAGTGAGGATGTGTTCATCTGTTGACTTTGTTAAACGACGGTCGTGTCAAACCTGATATGCCCAGTCCGGGTATCAGAATGGATAAAACTGGATCATTGCATCTCTTATTTCTATTTTATACCCAGATGTCTTGTTTTAATAGCTATTACCCTCATATTGTGTTACTACACTAAACTGCTTTGCCTTTCTTCCACTGAGAGCATAAAGGGTGCATAGGCGATGGCAGTCAAGGTAATACCCCTAATAATGAGTGATAACACAAAATATCTCCATACTGAGTAGCTGCAAGAAATAGTTAAACGCCAGAATGTAACAACTTACAAGAAACAAAGATGCAAAGTCTGAATTTCGCTCTAACAAACATCTATATCGTTTGTTTTTTATCGAGATTAACCAAAAATTGGCAATGTTGGAAAGCTTGTACCGTAATAATTTGCAAAACTTTCATTTTCCTTTGCTACGACAGAAATACTTGGTATAGATCAAAATCAATTTAATATGTAATTTTATATGTCTATTTAATATGATAAAAATCTATTTAAAATGTTTAACATTGTATTCAATAGAGGATTCAGGTGTTATACATTTCCCACAATTTCCTCATTGTGGGACAATAAACAAATTTTCTATTATATATATATATATATATACATACATACTTAAAAACAGAAGATAACTCTACAACCATATATCTCTTTATATTGAATAGATTCTCGTTAATTTCTTAAGATCAATTTGTATAATCAAAGACTGCATGTAAAAAAAAAAAAAAAAGGCATTTACAACTCTATAGCTGCCATTAACATCTTACACCCTAAGGGGGTATAAATAAATTTCTGCCTGACAAAAACACACAAAAGTAAATAACTTATAGCCTCAAAGCTATTAGATTTAAGAAGAAACTTTTGGTACGTCTGTAAAGGTAAGATGTCATAGAATGGTTTTCTGGTGTCAGCACCATTGTAGCTTTGACCCTGCCTGAAATATTAGGGACAAAATACAAAATATTTTGCATTTTTTGAACCTCGCCAAAATTTTCTTTGAAATAAACATTGCAAAACACTACCAAAATATTATTTATACCACAAAAAATAGTACAGACTTTCAAATCTAAATGTTGTGCAAAAATATACCAAATTTGGACTCAGTCAGATGAATCATATTTATTTTAGAATGGTATTAGTGAAAAATTTCTTAGGCGGAGGGGCCAGTTTGGCACATTTATCCATAAATGTCACCAAACTGTGCCAAATATGTTTTTTACATCAATACTGGGGGTTTGGTAAAATTACGAGGTCATATAGCAGCTGGACCCGCCGGTGAGTCTGTAGGGTTCAAGGGGTTAAATATAATTTCTTACTATATTATAGTAGTATAAATCTGTTGTATAACTACAGTGTCATTTTATTCAGGTTACAGCATCTTTGTTTTGTTTTTAATACTAGAAAACCCGATCTTAGGTTGGAACCCGAAAAGCATTGATTCTAAAACATGAGAATTGAAATGATTCCTGAAATCAGAATCTGCACTCAATCATTTATTCAACCTTTCGGTCAATTACTATATTTTCTGAATTGTCGCCAGTTAATTAGGTCACAAAACGATGCAGATTTCTAACAAAGGTCTGCAGTTCTAAGGCGAAACAAGAACATCCCAAACTCTCCTTCAGGACCTCTGATTAATGGTCATCCGGTGCAGTGGAAAAATATTAGCTTTCAAAGTAACTTATTCATTTTTTTAAAATGTATATATCACTCAGCTTGATTTATTCAACAGGATTATAATTTACACTTTTTATTTATCGTTTCATAAATCAAGAGCATCCAATATGGCAGTGGGTTAATTTGCCTCTAATCCAGTTTCCACAAGTTTGGTACAATTTCCTCTGAAATGACCTCCAAAACATTTATCAGCCATGTTTTACCAATTACATATCAGACAGTATATAAATAGTTAATGCTAGTTTTTTTTCCTTTAAAGAATGTAATCTTTAGTCTAAACACTGTTTAAATAGTTGTTTCTGATCTCACCATTTGTATCTTACAAAATATAACAGCCAGGCCCTAAAAGCAACGTATCTCTTACTGACCTTCTAATGCTGGATATTAATTATTAATAGTCACAAATGCACATTTACCAACAGAAAACCAGAAGACAGGAAGAAAAAGGTCAAAATCAGCTGCCAAAGGTATGAAATGTCCCCGTGTTAGTTAAAAACTGGAACATCTATAGGAGGGAGATTTCATCTTTTGGGGTTTGTAAAAGCCAACTCAGTAGTGTAAAAAGATCTGTGTTGAACCATTTCATGCACAAAAAGCAACAAGCATCTGCTTAAAGTGTGCAGTTTGTTACCGTTTGCATATTCTGCACAGTTAGTCAAATTCTTTGGTAAAATATGTGTGGAAAATGTATCATTGCAAACTGAAGCTGTTGCCCAAAAAAATGCAACGCTTGTCACAATGTGTCACTCACATATTGTTAGTGCAGTGCTTATTTTTTTCCCATCAGCACACTCTATTAACTCCAACTTATGCTTATAGAATGGATTCTGTTTTATATTACGTTTGTTAAAAACAATTGTGCAAAAAAGATATAGAAAGATTTCAAAATATCATTAATAATAAGAAAATTAAATATACCAAAAAACAACAACAACAAAAAAACAACACACACACAATGAAAGAAACTCACTTAAACCCCCCCCCCCCCCCCCAAAAAAAAAAAAAAACTTCTATCTTCTAGTTCTACCCAGCTCATTGTTTCAAGGCACTGCAAGTGACAACTAAATACCTCTTTGAGGTTTATCTAATATGTGAAAAAAGGGGGGGGAAATGCCGAAGCATAACTTTACCTTAAGAGCAAACAATTAAAACATTTTTGCTATGAGCTCAGTTGTGCTTTAGAAATTTTTTTAATTTCAGATAAAAGACCAATGAAATATTCTCAAATACTCTTAGTGCAAAGGAACTGCATCAAAACTCTTCTGCTATACTGATGTCGTCAAGAAATAGCAAGGCTTTAGACATTTTATTCATGTCTTGCAGGGTAGAATTAGACTTCTAGAAATTCGAAGGAAACTATTTTTAAACGTTGTGGTTAAAATGCAGAAAGATTAAACCACATGAAACCAGAAAAGTATTGTATTTTAATTGGCTCAGCATGTCAAACCCACAAAAATCTGCTTTTTTAGCATTTATTGACAAAAGACAAGATTAACCCCAATAAAAATCTGAATTGATATAATCAGATCTGGTAGCTCAATCTTGTGTTGGCCAAAAAGAACCTTGATCTTTGATCTGATGCACTTAGAAATAAATCATAACTAATTGCAGCATCATATAGTGTTAATTGAGATAATCATGTAATTCCTTATAGTTTAAATCAAAACTAATACCTCCAAAGAACCTGTATGGCAATAAGTCAAATGCTGTGAAAAAAAACTAAATAAATAAAAAAATCAATATCAGCAAGGAAAAAGCTGATCAGAGCATTTTAAGTATGATTGGCTTTTTAAGAAACTCATACAAAAGATTATTTTATGAATTAAATTTGCACCATTTAAACCCAAAGTATAGATTAAATTATTCAACAAGGGAAGCTGGTGAAAAAAAACATGCATTTTTTTCCCAAACTTTATCTTTAGTGGATCATGTAAGGTGGCTTTTCCACCTCTGTGCCCAAAAACCTTCGTTTCACATTTGGTCCGTGCTTTTAAAGGAACCGCACATGGCCATTTTAAACCCCCATTGTTAATTAAAATAAGCCACCCATACAATAAACCTCTTCGGCCTTTAAAAAAATAAATAAATGACATTGAAAGTCTCCCGCAGGGACTGCCTACCAGCTAGCAGCGTTGGTAGCATGTCGGATAGCACTAAAGGGCCTCAGACGGCATGTCGTCTACACAGCAACACCAAACACTCCATGCCATAACGGTGCTGGAAGGTTTCCATGCTACCTACCGAGCAGCAGCAGCTTCAGCTCCCTCCTGGAGTCCCGCTTGTCGCGGCGGAGCTGTTTGTCAATTTCTGCATTGATTCGTTTCGACTCCTTCGCCTCCTCGCTCAGGCAGCAAGCCATCATGGACTCCAGAGTCATCCCCTCTGGTTGTGGCAGCCCGGTTCAAACGGGACCCTGACCGACGCTGGCTCACGGTTTCAGTTTCTCCCGAATCCTCGGGCCCTCAAGCGAAGCAGGGAGGTGGTGGTGGTCAGTCGGCTTGGCCTGGCCTGGACTGCACGGGCGGATGGATGGTCGGGGGCTGGGGGAGGGGAGACTTAGCCAAGGGGCCTCGCTGTCAAGTTGTCCCCCCAGCCGGGAAGAACTGAGACTTCACCCGGATGTTCCACCGTAAATCACAGGAGATTCACACTGGAAAGGAAGCTGAACCAGCCTTTTCCTTTTCTTTTTTTTATTTTGTTACTAACGGCTGCCTTTAGGTTTTATTTTCTGCCTTTTCCAATTCAATCCTCACCATCTGCCGAGAGTGGCTTCAACGCTGCAGCATCCAAACCTGTGACAGCCAACGTGTCTACAGCCTCCCCAGCGTTATTCCAACAACCCTTCCTAAATTAGGCCCGAAAACCAGTCGGGGAGCGCTCGCCCTGCTAGTCCGCTAGCTCGTCCGACTAAAGGCTAACGTAGTGACAGCCCGCAGTGATTGAAGCAGCAGGCTGGTTGAAGGAATTTGGCCGCCTAGCTTAAAAAAACAACAGGACAACACCCAGTTACATCCTGACTCATCCCGACTGAAAGTGACAAAGCTAGTGCAAAAAGCTCCGAATAATTACCGGGAAACCGGAAAATAAACGCGTGCCGAAACGGCGGCTCTTTGCTGTAAATATGTTCACATCAGAAGACCGTCGCAGGAATAAGGTGGGCACACTCCTGGATGCTGCCAAGCGAGGCGGAGGAGGGAAGCGCGACGGTGAGTGACAGACGGCGGACTGCTGGAAACAGGTTTGGGGCAGACCAATTGAATGAGCGAGGCGGGTCTCTGGGTGGGCTTTGGATCCAAACACCCCCAGCCTACGCTAATGGCATGCGAAAATGGTCAAAAATCATATGCGACCTGTAATGTAAATGTAGAACTGGTATATTGTTTTTAAAATAAGTTGTTTTGTCAAACTGGGAAGATGTGGTGTAAATGAAATGATATTTGAGCGGAACTGAAGGAGCAGCTCCGACCAGAAGGTAAAGGTGTTCTGGGACTGCAGCAACATCTGGAGGCCAGGGGGAAGAACTACACAAGATTCATTCACAAAAAATGTTGCCTAATTAACTTAGTCTATGAAGTCCCTCATATTTTAAATTTTGATTAATAAATAAGCCAATTCGTAGTTTCATATTCATGGTTTATATTCTAAGTTTATATACTAATAAATGAATTCAATAATTTAAATATGAGGAGCTGATTAACAATAATTATTTCCAAATATAGTTTACCTGCTGCGCATTTATTTCGTTCTTAATTTCGCCTCCAAATGTTTCCCAAATTTTCCTTCTATACTTCCTGAACAGCTCTGTGAAAAAAGTATTGCGGATAATCCAGTTCAAAAAGGTACGATTTCAAAGATTTATAGTTTGATTTTAAATCTAAAGGGTTGATTCTCATGTCAAACTTGGAGATGCATGGGATAGAGTTGGGAATCCAGTTGACACAAAATATTTGGGATGATGCCATTAACAGAATTCGATCTTCCTAATCCTGTACTCGCCTTAGTTTGATCAAGTTGTACCGGTTTTTCTTTTTCCTTTTTCTTTCTTGTTAAAAATTAAAAAAAAAGGGACTGTAATTTTGGAATTTTTAATTGTACTGACTTTATATATCTTTGTGTGATCACAGCAAGAGAAACCGTTAAGTTAGAAAATGTTAATTTTACATGACTTTCACTTTTTTTATATAGAAATCTTAAAAGAATGATAATCGTTTCTCCAGCTACTTTGATACTCCTAGATAAAATTCCATGCAACCAACTACCTCCCTTAAAGCCGCTTAAATTGTAATCCAGTAGTCCATCATTGTTCTGTTTTAATTCACTGCAGCATCAGAGCTGCGGTGCTGTGGACATGATTTTCTTCAACAAGGAAAAGAAACCAGTCAAAGATGAGGGAGCAATGAGGAACCAAACAAAGGGCAAAATCTGAGAAACAAAGCAACTAAAAGCTGCAAACTATTGCAGTGGAGGTTTACCCATCAGCTGGACAACGACGGTTAAACTACAGCCGGCGATGTGCTGAATTTGAGGCGTTTTGCAAAATAGGATGGCCAAAAAAATTCAACCTCTAGATATGCAAAATTGGCCAAGACCTACAGCAAAGACATTTAGTTTTTTAAAGCATGCATCCTTTTTCTTCAGTTTCAAAACAATCCACTCCTGTGTTGTCTTTTTTATTACATGGAATCCCAAATAATACTGTTTATTTTTTTAAGTTTTAAGTTGTTAAAGTTTTAAACACTGAAGTAGTAGTAGGATCATTTGAGCAACTGCATCAATGCACTTGTGATTATCTGGTAGTATACACACAAATAGCTTTGACTTGACATACTCCATGTTTAAAACAACAGGTACAAGCTGTACATTTAACAACTGCATAGTTCTGCAGAAGGATGGTTCTGATCTGGCCTTATTGGAAGCCAAAAGGATCAAACATTGAAATACACATATAACTCAACACTGAGGTTTGAAGTTAAGATATCACACAATAGCATTTTTGACCCACATCTAAAATAGTGCTAAGGCATTAAATGCATTATGGACAGTTTCAGTAGTTTATATACTGTGTTTCATAATGACAAACTGATTCCATCTCGTTTTTCATTGACTGTAGTCAGGTGCTTTGCAGCTGGAAATAGTCACAGAAGAGGCCCCTGACCTCCTCAGCACCGATTTGGTCCGTGCTGCTCGGGGCTGAGGGTTTGTAGCCAGGCTGCGGGTTCTCTGCCCCGCACACCTCCTCCTGCCACTCCGCTTTAAAGGAATCCCCATGGGACTCGCACATGTTGTGCAGGATGCAACAGGCAAGGATCATGGTGGGGACCACGTCCAGCCCGCAGTCGTTCCTCTTGCTCAGGCACTGCCAGCGTGCCCTGAGCCTCAGCAGCACCTCCTCCGTGGCACGCAGCGCTCTGTTGAGGCCGCGGTTGAAGAGCTGCTGCAGCTCCGTCAGCTCTACGCGGCATCCCCTTTGGCTCTTTGGCTCCGAATACGCTCTCATCAGCCAGCTCTGAAGAGGGTAGCAGGCCTCCCCCAGCAGCACATACCTGTAGAAAATAGGTGGAGTCCAGTCAGAGAACAAAACAGTCTTTAGGTTCCTCAGTGCCGGATTTGGTCACTAAAAATAAAAGTTAGAGGATGAGCAGCTAAATTTTGGACAGGTTAAAGTAAGAGAGAGCAGCTGGTCTGACTATGAATCATAGCATGTTACAATAATCAGTGAATGATGAAAGGCATTGATGTGGACGTTAAGAGCAGTGAAAAAAAAAAATTATTTATGGTGCAAAAATGCAGTAGTAAAACATTTTTGAGAGGAGTTTCTTAGAATGGTGGAAGCGGCTTTTAAAAAAATGGTGTCAAAAAGCCAAGATTCAATGCTGGATGTTTCACAGGGACCACTGGGTTTCTTTATCATAACAAGTGACAAGTAATTGCATACGCCATTTTAGAAAGTACTGAAAACCAGAGTTTTTTTTATACTTAAATTTTTTTGTCTCATGTTTGGAATCTTTAAAAAAAAAAATTATTTAAAAGTTATGGATTTGTTTTTCCACCAGCTACTTTCCTTCAATTAATGTATGGAACTAAATTGGGGCCATGAAAAAAAAAAAAAAAAAAAAAGTAAACGTTAAAGGAATAGTACACCCAAAACATGATTAGCCTTCATTTTCTACTCACCCCCATGCTGAACAACACTCTGGAGTACTTTTTTGATATTCAGCTCGGCAAAGAACTCATGCTCTTCCTCAACACTGAAGTCCTCAGACATTTTTCTTTCGTTGTTTCTTTCTTTGCACAGGTAAACAGCACATTTCTTCTTCTACGCTTGCATTATCGGCAGAGCAGACGCTGAATGCGCACTTTCATCTGGTTTGGTCTGCCGCGGTTTCCGTAGGCTCGTGAACTCGCAGGCGCGCGCTTTTAGGAAATCCTATACACTACTGTTTATGCTCTAAAAACATTCTAAATGACTTCGTTTCGAGTAAATTCTGGATGCTACCCACTGAGGACACTTGGAATACATTGGACGAGCAGTATGGAGGAATATTGACACGTTTTTTGTGGACTTTTATGGACCTTTCTGTCCCGGGCGCCATAGACCTCCATTATTTGAATGTCAGCAGACAGCAAGAAGCCTCCCAGATCTCCGGATGCATTTGAGATATCAAAAAAGTACTCCAGAGTGTTGTTCAGCATGGGGGTGAATAGAAAATGAAGGCTAATCATGTTTTGGGTGTACTATTCCTTTAAAGAAAAAGTTTATCAACAGCAAAAAAAATCTTTTGACTCTTATCCATGAAGCATGTAATTAAAAAAAAAAACAATCACATACAAATAGAATATTTATGTTTTACAGACATTTCCGGTTCCCACTGTCCCTGAATGCAACAGCTGGGAATAGGTTGTTCGGCTTCTGTGTTGAGTTGGTAGTCATGATTCACACCACAGGCCCTGCTCCCCTCGCCAAAATATGGTTAGAAGCATGAAGCCAAAAAATAGATCTTTAAGTTTTTAATACAAATCCATAATATAAAAAAATGCGTAAAGTAGTTTTTCTTATGAAGAAACTGTTACTTTTTTAGTTATTTTTTTTTTCTTTTGAAAAAGCCTGTTTCTTTCCCCAAGTTTTTATTTTAAGGCCCTAATTTAGCTCCATAGACCTGCCCAATGGTTGGTAGCACTGCTGAAATACAGCATAAAGCTTCCGAGTTCTAATCCTCTCTGCATAGAATTTGCATATTTTCTTTATGCATGTGTGGGTTCTCTCTGATCACAGGCTTCAATTAACCATTAATGCTTTATTGTCTCTCTATTTGCCTGGTTAGATTGGAGATCTGCACTTTCTGCTACTGCTTCTCTGCTAATCACTGCTGAACATCCCCATCCCATGGTATGGATGATTGTCTTACTGCCTTTTTTTTTAGCCTTTCTTGGCCAGACTTCAAACTGTCATTTACATTAATTAAAATTTGAATGTAGGACATGAAAAGCAAGTTTACATCCTTCAAACCTTGCTGACAGAGGAAAACATGGGAAAAGTATTTTGATGGCTACAGAAAATGCATCTTCAACCATCAGGTTAGAGTCGCTTGTAACTGAAATATAATTAAAGCAAGAAGTTGGAGCTTTTTGTGTGATGGAAAGTTTTTTTTCTTCCTTCCAACTAACTTTACCTTAGTTGTTTCCCCATGAAGATGGGTGTTGTGGCAGGTGAGAGTCCACCTTCTGCAGCTGTGAACCACAAAGATGAGTTTTGTAAGATCTCAGCTGGATCTGTCCCACCTGGGAAACTGGCACACACATCCCAGAAGTGCCCTCGGCCGCTGATAGCCACCTGGATCGCGGGAGAAAGAAAAAAAATTATTAAAAAAAAATAATAATAAAGCAAACAATCTAAATCAGTTTTCCGTACCTGAGAGAGGACAGAGAGCCAGCCTGCAGGGTTGGCGTAGTCAGACGCGTTGCTCGATGGGGTGATGATAGCTGTGTGTAGTGTTGTGATAGCAGCAACACAATGTGGGAAGCCAGAGAACGAGTGAAAGAGCTGAGCCGATTCCTCCAGCTCCTGCTCGGTGGGTGTCCGCAGATAGGTGGAGCTGAGGAGAGCCACGATGGCGTGGCACATGTCTCTAACACACCTACACACAGTGGACTTCCCCACGCCGAACAGGGTGCTGATGGTGCGGTACTCCACGTTGGATGCGAGGCGCCACAGGGCCACGGCCACACGCTTCTCCACCGGCAGCGCCAGGCGGAAGCTGGTGTCCTGGCGAGCTAGACGGGGCCTCAGCCTGTCGCAGAGGTAGAAGAAGGTCTCCCGGCTCATCCGAAACTTATCCAGCCAATCATAGGGCTGGAATTCCGTCATCACCACCCGCTCCCACCAGTCAGAGCGGGGAGTGTTGGTCCAGGGCCGGGTGCGCATGCGGATGTTGGAGCGGATTCCTCCTGCAATCATGATCTGTGGGGAAAAACAGAAAAGAAGCTTTGAATCAGCTGATCATCATCAGGATAAACAGGGTTCCTCTATCTGCTCTCCTTCAGTCAGGCCGAGACCAGCTCCAGCCCCTTAAAGAGTCTGAACGAGTCAACAATCAAGTATTTTATTTGGTCTATTTAGTTATAGCTTTAGATGCGGTTTACAAAAGTATTCATACCCTGAAGTTTGTTCCCATAAAAAAAAAAAAACAACAATAATTTAATGGTGATTTTACTGATCACCAAAAATTTATTTAACCAACTGGTTACAGGAGCCACTTATCAAGTAAATATGGCCCATGTGCTTGGAATTAAATCTTTATTTAAAGACCAGGGGCAAGTGGTAACTTTGCACTGTATGTTTTAAACATGGGAAAAACGATATAAGCCAGCTTACCTATAAGTTGTTGGTCATTTCAAATGGTGAAAGTTCTGCTAACTTTCAGGTTTTGGTTGTGAAATGTGGGAAAAGAAACTAGTGAAATGATGCTAACAAGATTCTGCCAATCAGAATAATATCTTATGTTATCTACAATTATAATAAAGCCGTATTTCTTTCTCATTTGAGTTTCAAGTTCAGGTATTTTAAAGGTTTCCCTGGATCAGTGATGCTGCGGCGTAGCATGGTGGTTAATGAGCAAAGCGTTTTCTTCTGGGAGCAACTTAGGGTCAGAGGTTCAAAACTATATCACCTTTCTAAGTCATAGCTCAGAATTTTTTTTTATCTCAATTTCAAGTTACAACTTTAGTTAAGGTCCTGAACTTAAATAATTGAGGAATTTTGTTGCCTTAACATTTAGATTTCTGCTAACTTGCCTTTTTGTACAGTGTGGAAAATAAAGTAGGGCAGCAACTAACAATTATTTTGTAAATCGATTAATCTGTCTTTTTTTTTTATTAATTATCTGACAACCAAAGGCTATTTAAAAAGTATTTTTTTACTAAATTAGTCCAGGTTAAACTAAAATGTTTCCATTTGAGCAGTTCTAGATTGAACATATTGACAGACAAAAAAATGTTTTTCTATCTTAAATGCAAAATATTTATATATTTTTTACAACTTTGATATAGAGACTGCTTTAAGTAGGTCGCTCTGTCAGCAAAAGGCCTATTTTACAGACTCTATACTCCATTTAACAATTAATCAATTACTAAAATATTGATGATGTTTTAATAACCGATTAATTACAATTAGATTAGATTAGATGAGCTTTATTGATCTCACAGCAGAGAAATTCACTGGTCACATAATGGCATAGTAATAAAAGAAGGTGCAAACAAGGAAGAAAAAGGTGCATTAAGAATAAACAATATATATACAGTATATCATGATAAATAAGGATTAAGGTGCAAGTGTACATGTATCACAACCAAAAAACATAATAAAAATAAGAAATAAAAAAATACAAGGGAGTAGCACAGAGATTTGAGGTGTCATATGTACAATCCGCATGGCTTATATACAGGTGGATTGACTTTTACATTAAAGTGTAGTAGGTAAGGAGCAATGGTGAGGTAGTGGTATGACTATTATATTCACATATATTGCACAGTCTATAAATAATTAATCCGATTAATTGTTTCCGCCCTAAAATAAAGCATATTAAAAATGACTGAAAGAAAACAAGACAACATTTTTTTAAGCTGAATCAGCAGGTGTTCAATGGCTATATTAGAGGAAAAACACACTTATACCTTAACATAAAACAGATTTATCACAGCCTCTTCTAGTGAGATACTTTAGCCCTTTATAGAGCAAGTTACTGTTTATGATCACTTGCATACCCCTTACAAATGGAGTCCCCCCCCCGTCCCTCTGTGAGGTCTAGAAGCACAAGATCTATATCTAGCTATTCAGCACAGATCCTGTTACATGGCTGTACAACTTATTTTGTTATTTGACCAATTAGATGAGCCCTTGAATGATATTTTACCTACTTTAAATTAAGGTAAAAAAAAAAAGGTAAAAAGCTGATTGAAAAGTTAAAATTAATAAGCCTAGTTAACAATTATATTTAGGTTTATAAACTAAAAAATCTAAGTGCCAGTATCACCATTAATGCCTCTAAGGTTATGTTGTACACTCTGAGTGTTTTTCATGAATTTCTTATAGAAAAACTTTAGTTATTTTTCTTCATATATTTGGGCAAGTTGGTGTTACATTGACATATATTTTTGCCAGCCCAATATAAATATTTTTTTAATGTTACAAAAGTAATAAGGTCTTGTCCTGGATCCCAATAACACTATTGGCTTGAAATTAAAAGTATTTCACCGAGTGAAATAAAGGGTTAACATAAATACATGGAAATGATGGAGGAAAATATTATGTGATGTTTAAAAGATCACAAGCTCACCATCCAGCAGGACAACAACCATCATCTGGATGGTTTGGGTAGAGGGCCTAATCAGTCCAGATTTAAATTCTATATCAGTGGAATGATTGAAAAATAAGTTCACAAATGCTCTGCATAGAATTTGATGCAACATTTTAGCCTCCAAATGTCCAAAACTGGTAGAAAAATACCCTAAAAAAGAAACATTAAGGGAGAATAAACAGAAATTGGCTATCTCAGTATCCCAGAGGTTCATGTGTGGATGCAGCATTTCAGGCTAATGATCACAGCTGCAGCTGCTCCACTATGGAGCAGCCAGCAGCAGAAAGCACTGACCATCAGCATCCTCCTCTGTCTCTGGAAGAAATACTGCCGATGCCGGATGCGCCTCTGGATTTCGCTGCGTCTCTGAGCGTCTGCGTTGTTTAGATCCCTCCTGCGCTTCAGCAGCATGTAAGTCAGGAGAAACATTAATGAACGCTGCTGCTGCTCCTCTTCTTCCATCCTGAGGAATCAAACAAGCAGTAAACAAGAGCTACTATTCTTCCTTTATGTTTACTTCCGCCTTTGGCATCAAATGTCCGTTTCTAAACAGTGCTGCCATCTAGCGGCCAAGTGAAAGCAGGTCAAGTAGTAGACATTTTATTTATTTATTTTTTACCTTTTTTTAACGGGTTAAAAACCTATTTTTCAAGGGAGTCCTGGGCAACAGGTAGCAAAGTAACCTAAAAAAAACATAAACATAGATAAAATAAATTAAAATAAAGACGGGTACATAAAAAAAACATATCCAGTAAAACCATTAGAGATCATTGAGGCTGCTTTCGCTCACCTCCGTCATTTATATTCTCAGGTGAGATGGTCATCATCATCAATTTGTAGACTCATACTTTGGTACATTTTTATCCATATGACTATCCTTGCACTGTTTCTGCCTGACATTTTCTCATACCTCTCAAATAGAAAGGCTACTCTCACAGGACTTGATCTCCTTCCCTATTCCATCAATACAGTCAGAACTCTGCTGCATAAACATGGAATATTCAGCAACATGATCTAAAGCTTTACATCTAGATTCCCTTGGGACAATTCAAGTCTCTGTTAAGAAAGAAAGAGAAATCTTCCTATCAAACGTGTTCTCTGCTCATTTTATTATCAGTCAAACCTTAAATCACTTGTTTTGTTGCTGTGTTTGTCATCTTATTTTAGTCCAAACTGGTCTTTCTCATAAACAAGATATTGGATCTCAACGAGACGACCTCTATAATATAAACAACAAAAACAAACAATTAATGGACATTGATATTTTTCCAAATGGGACATTTTAAATTCTGAGTGATAATGAACTGCATCATTAATCCACAACCTTTGACAAATCCTGCAGTGGCGATAGGTAAGAAGTTTTGTTTTCTTTAGTGACTTAGCCAACAGATCCCAGACTTGCAGACTTTCTCTATGAGAATCTGTGATCTAGATGCTCAACAAGCGATTCTACTTTCAGAAACTATCAATTTCATTGAATAATACTTTAAGGTAAATACTTACAGGAGCTTATCAAAGAAAGTATCATAAAAGTCAGCAAATATGTTTTCATAAGGTTTTATTAGAGGGGAATACAATCTAAGGACTTATATAGTCTAATGCTGTACATTCACGATTTATACGTAACTCTAAGCTACAACTTTCACACGGTCGATGAACAGGTCTGCAGCAGCGTTTTCAAACTCCTTTGCGTCCATGTCGCCACCGGGGCAGCGGGTCTGTGCCCCCGCCATGGCTTGTGCCACTTTGTGGGGGGAGATCTTGGCACTGGCCTCCAAGTAGCAGATAGCCTTTGCTTTTTTATCCAAACAAACATTAGATTTGGTGTTGGCATTAGCCAAACAGTTTGCATCTTGCCCCTGGGATGTCTCAAGAGCTTCCTTTAAGGTCCCAAGCACTGCAAGGCAGAGCGCCTGGGAGGCAGGCCCCTCATCGGGGCAGCACACCTCGGCGTAAAGCCTCTGAGCCTGCCGGATGTAGTCTGAGAAAACAGCACAGGTGAGCACTCCGTGGCGGAAGACATCATAAGGGACGGCTTCGTGGTCCTGGCAGCAGAGGCGTTGAAGCAGCGGGGCGGATGTGGAGGCAGGTACTCCTCCTTCACTGCAGAGGCACTGCAGAGTCTGTGTGTAGAGGCCTCCTTTTACTCCTCCTCCTACTTCAGTAGGGATATCAGGGCAGGAGCCATCAGCCTCAACTGCATGTCTTTGACAGCCATTCAGGTTGAGCAGATCATAGGCCACACGGACGTTGTTGCTAAAAGCTGACCTGAAATTAAAATCAATCCGTCAAAACTACGAAAAATAAAGATCTCAAAGACAGAGGGCTCACTCAGCAGACAAATAAAACCAACATAAAAGGTGGTTAAACACTATTGTTTCGGACAAAAGGGCTTAAAGGTATAGTGGAAGATGTTCTTTTTCCAGGTGGATCATCAAAATAAGACTAATTGTTATTCACTCTGTTGATATTTTTACGTAAGGCCGTCCACATTTTCACTTACCAGCAGTGAGTCTGACATAGAGGAAAAATCGCAAATATTCTTTTGGAAATTAAGCTTGTATGAACGATGCAAACAGCAACTTTTAAGCAGAGTGTGCACGAGGAGAAATGGGATCGTGCATGCTCTCGCACGCGTTTACTATGTGTTCCCTCTCAGGAGCCGGTACAGGGTTGTGCATGTCCTAATTTTTTTTTAAGTGGAGGGGGCTGGTCTTTTCAAAAATTCGCAAAAATCCTCCTCTATACCTTTAAATACAAAATAAATGTTGCTCAAAAAAACTCCATCATACAGGTTATTTTCCAAAGCTAATACATATCTGAGTGAGTCAACGATTGAATATACTGAAGCATTCAATTGGTTTTTTTATTACAAAAAATGCAGAAAATGCTTTTAACCCTTAAACACTTCTGAAACATTATAGCTATAAACATAAATCGTTTTATAATCTTCTAAAATCTGCCATTATGTAGCATACTTTGAACCAGTGTTGTTTACCCAAAACCCAGCAGCTTCTGAGCCATTTCAATCACTGTTCCCCCCAAAACAAAAAAGAAATGGCATTGATCTATCCCAGGAAGGCTCTGGCAAGAGACTCTGTAATATGTCTGTAAAGTGAAGACAAGTATCTTTAATACTATATCTATAATAATTTTTACTTTATTGGTATTTATCATTGTGCCACTTAGAACAGTGGTGAGCACTGCTGGCTTTCAGCAAGAAGGTTCCAGGTTCGAATTCTGGCTTGGGGTCTTTCTCCATGTAGTTTGCATGTTCTCCCTAGGCATGCGTGGGTTCTCTCCGGGTACTCCGGCTTCCTCCCACAGTCCAAAAACATGACTGTTAGGTTAATTGGCTTCTCTAAATCCTCCTTAGGCGTGTGTGAGTGAATGGTTATTTGTCCCAATGTTGCCCTGCGATGGACTGCCGACCTGTCCAGGGTGTACCCTGCCTCTCAGGCACCAGCACCCCTTGTGATAAACGTGATGGAAAATGGATGGATTCAGATACCAGATTTGTTTTGCTGTTTAGCAAGGAAGTAAAAGTTGTCCAAAGAAAAGTAGTCAGTCTAATCAGTATGGATGTCAATACTCATGGGCAGTGCTCCTAATAAACTGGCCCCTGTACTGAGGACATAATGCAAGTTAAATTGATGACAAATAAATGATGTTATGCTAGAGCAGAAATTGCCATTGATAAGTTCCAATTTCCAATTTCATGTATGTTTACAGTTTTATTTTACAGTTTTATTTTACGTAATTAATGCGTAATTAAGTTGTTAAGTTGTTCACCAGCATCCCTCGTGACCCTACTTGGGATAAGCCTGACAGAACATGGATGGATGGAAAATTAAGTTGTTGCACTTTTAGTTTCTAGATTCTAGAGCTGCAAATGGCTGTTTCATACAGCAAATTATTAACTTTTTTTTTTTTTTGCATGATGCTCCAATGAATAAATAATGGCCCCACTCCGCCCCGGTAATATTGGCCTATAATCGCCACTGCTGCTTAAATGGATGAACTCTGACCTCTGAGAGTGATGCGCCAGCCGCAGGTGCCACAGCGCCCGGTTCAGACGCTGCTGTTCCTGCTCGCCTACGCCCGCAGCGCCGCTGCTCCGCTGCTGCTCCTCTCCGCATCCAGAAGAGCCGCTGTCAGTAACGGACGCCAGATTGCAGAAGTGGTCGGCCAGGAACCCGATGGGATCATCCGACCTGGCCTCGACCATTTTCAGGATCGCCCCCTGGAGCAGCTCTCCCACACCGGTTTGCTCCAGGAAGTCCCTGTCACCGTCCGACTTGACGGCTTTGCCCGCGGGCATCCCCGAAAGAGGAGCCGCAGACCGGCGCTTCTCCTTGTCAGCCATGGCTGTTGATGTCCCGTGTCGCAGCAACGGCAGCGGAAGTGACGTAGGACCGGTCCGGAAGGAGGAACCAGTTCTCACCCCTCTCACAGACATGCTTATTACACAGTTGTACTTATAGATTATAACTACCCAAAACCCCAAGTAGTGCAGGAATATATCTATAATTAATTTCCAAAATTTAAGTCCTTAAGTATAATGACATACTGCTCTAACATTCTCTCATCTTATTTGTTATTGTTAGTTTTTCAGTGTTTATCTATTTTACATACTTTGCTCAATCAAAACATGCATATTTTCACTTTTTTTTTATATTAAATCCTTTTTGTTATACCAAATTCGAATCTTTAATAATGAATAAAACTTATCTCCTAGAAGTTTCTTAATATCATCCTATAATAGGATAAGGCATAATGTTAAAGTGTTAAAGACACTGAAATAAATCCAACAGCTGCTTCAAAGCTTCATTTCTTGTGATCGAATGTATGAAAAATGTCTCCATCTTTTTAAAGCACCTGTTATTCTTTATTTGCTTCTGCAAACAGCCACATTTTAGACATTAGGGAATCAGTGGTGCTGTATTAAAGACAATGGAGTTGAATATATTTATATAAATGATGATGGAGATGAGAGTCATGATGCTTGTTTCTGCAGTGTTAAACTCTCAGGACTATAAACCTGACCATGCAAAGCTCTCAGTCCCTTTGCTAAGAGACAATGGGATTTGATTTTAAGACATGGTATCTTATCATAGATGAGTTGTGATGCTGAGTCTTTTTTAGTTAGCTATATATTTTCTGAACTATGTCATGCCAAACAGTTACTGTGCATTTCATTTAATTTTTTTAATCAATACACTATTTGTGCAAAACTGAAAATTTTCTACATAGATTGGCAGATATTCTCTCTTAAAACCCGTTTCTGTATCTGGAAATACTGTTTGCCCTGGTTAATTATGTTGGGGATTAAAATGAGATAATCCTAAATTATGAAGATGGGAACATTTATTTTCAAAATTGACATGAAGCTGTAATTTCCTTTTTTTTCCCAGATTGATTATGCATATTCTTTTAAGTTATTAGTAGGGGGGGAATGCACATTTGTCCATTAATTAAGATATTAAGGAGTCTGTACAGTTCCAGTTCCCTGCAAGAATGCAATAATTTGCCAATTTGAAATATTTATATCATAAACATTGCATTTGGTGATATTAATGAATAGGCTAGCAAGACTTACATTATTATTAATTGTGCTAACATTGTTTTTAAACTCATGACCCAACTGTAGGTGCCTCAAAAAGAAAAAAAAAAGACACATTTAAGAAAACCTTAAGTCTTAAATTCAAAGTTTATTGAAAAATAATCAATTCTACACAAAAAAGTTATACAATTCTACAATACAGCAGACAAAGATATCAAAAAATAAATCAGTGAATGCAAGATTCCCCTCTTGTCATGCCCGTCACACAGTGTCCACTCAAATAGCAGCAGACCTTTTTCACACTTCCGGGTTTTAAAGCGGATGTGGGGTTTGACAACTTCCGGTGGCTATAGCGTTAGCATAAAAGTCTAAGAAAATGGCTCAGTCTCGGCGCAGTTGTTTTTGTTCTGTACCTGGTTGTTCATGTGGGGCAAGAAAACAGCCATATCTGTCCTATCATGCATTCCCACAGATTATGTTGCAACCGCAACAGAAACATAAAACAAATAGTAACAACTGAACAGGAAAATGTTAGAATAAGCTCTAAGTAGTCCAGAAGTCGTACGTGAAAGTTCTTCAGCCGTCAAACCTGAACAGGAACTCGAACCAACGAACAAGAGCCAACCGGCTTTCTGACTGTTTCAAACCCTGCAGGTTGTGCGGTTCCTCATTTTTCTTCATGGATCTGAAGCATCTAGCTCTGACAACTACCTGCCCCTCGACAATATTTGACACTACAGGCATGCAGAAGTAAAGCATAGTTTCAACATCAAGCATCATCTAGAATCTCAGAACTAACATAACATTCAAGCATGCTGTTTTTCACAAACTGTAGTGGCAAACAAATTTCAGAATGTCAAAATATAACTGAAAAGTTTAAACTATGTCCGTCTCCAATATTCCACATAATTTAGATACTAAGTTAGGCTTCATTACGATGTTTGTGTAGCTCATATCTTGCAGCTAGCGGTTAGCTCGCTAAGCTACGTCTTTTCTTACCTTGATAGCTGTGGATATATTCTTCGTGGAAGAACTTGTATCCTTTCACAGATTTGTTGGTTGGGGAATTCGCCGCAGCGATTTCCTCCGCATCCGCAAAATAAAGTGTTGGCAAACTAAGTAAGGATGACGAAAAGCACCGGAGGAGAGACATTTTTCAGAGTAAAACAGGAAGTGCTCCAGCCCTTTCAGACGCAGCTTCCGGTTGTCGTGAAAAAGGTATCAGTAGCTACTAGCTATAATATCCACATTGTGTTTGTAAAACTTCTGTTTTCACAGATATCCATACAGTACATTTACACACAAACATTGCACTGAAGTGAAAACTTATCTGAATTAGAACATAAGCCTACCTTGTAAACTCATAAAAAGATCATAAAATATTTTATTAATACTTTTGCTATGTTTGTAATTGTTAGAATAGCCTACATAAACAGATTTGGTCAATTGTTTGTTGGAGTTTCCAAAAGATCTAAATAATGGTCCCTAATCTCAAGCAGGTTTAGTTAATTTTTCTGTATTTGATCAGAGTGGTTGTTCATCTCAAAGAATGCTTTAAGATTTACAGCAGTCCCATTTGGGCTTCAGGGCAGTATGTAGCATCACATAGCACAAGCTGTGTGGCTCTCCTGGGTATAAATGCCATTTGTCAGCGCTACAGGGATGTGGTTCCCATTGGCCAGAGCAACCTTTTTTAGTGTAGCCACGTCGTTGCTTATGTAGTTAGTGTGTTGTGTTAGGAAGTTTCTCTGCAGCTTGTGCTCCAGCAGCATGTGGTTCTGAGGAGGGAGACCAATGCACGCTCTGGAAAAGGCAAGGGATAAATAAGAACATGAGTGAATGATTGAGTTTAACTTAACATGCCTATAAGTGAGAGAAAACAAAACAAAAAATTGCTTTGGAAGTGATGCACACCTCATGATGTTTTCTATGCAGGCTCTCTGGCGGAAGAACGCATTGACAACTGGAGTCCCTGATGGGACCAGGGGGGCCTTGCAGAGGAAGGAGAGCAGTGCGAGGACACTGTGGAAGGACTGGAATTCCTCCTCTCCCTGAGGCCTGACCATCACACGCTGGCAAAGCTCTGTCAGGATTACCAGGTCCAGGATGATGGGGCTGGCCAGTAGTGAGTCCTGTTAGGAATCAAGGAGGAATATTGATGATTTACTATATGAGGTGTGTCAAAAAAATAAAAATTAGTATCTAAATTAGAATCAAATAATAAATTAAAAGTTTTCTGATTGCGTTTTTATCTTTTTGTCACTAGAGGGAGACAAAGTCAATATATGACCCAAGTCTTTAAATCAGCCAATTCAGAACCAAACATTTATGCTGATGAAGATTCTCAGTCATCCAGTCATAGTCATTCCGTATAAGTAAAAAAAAAAAAACAATCCACTGGACTTGATTTCCAAGATTTGAAGACGTTTCCCTACCTCTCCAGGAAGCTTTCTCAATTCAAATGTCTGTATTGTAGAATTGAGAAAGCTTCCTGGAGAGGTAGGGAAACGTCTTCAAATCTTGGAAACCAAGTCCAGTGGATTGTTTTTTTAAGCTTTTACGGAAGGAACCAAACATTTAGATTGTTTTTTTTTTTTTTTTATCAAAATATACATTTAAAATGTTTGCATTATTACACCCTTAAATTAAACCAAGCATAATCGCCCTAGAAATTATGTTGATCTATTGTGAAAGTACTTGATACACAAAGAGAAAGACATCAGCTGTTGTGTTTCAGCAGACTGAGCTAAGTAGGTGTGTGTCCCGCACGTGTCTTAGTATTTAATCTCAGGCTTAAAAAGGCAGATTATCCTCAAGATCCTGAGCCTCTCTCCAGAAACGTCTCTCATTTGAAGTGAATGCTGAAATTGATCGAAACCAACCTCGCAGGTGTTGTGAAGTGCAATCGTGTTGAGCCCTCCCATCATTATTTCGGATGTGTACTCATCCATGGCACGCTTGCTGTCTCCCACATAGGGGACATATTTAATCACCACCTGCAAAGCGGACGGAGATGTTTAAGAGGCGTTCTGTGAGCATCCACTGACATGTTACAGCAGGCCTGTGTTTTTGTTTCACTCACACAGTGGTCAGGTTTCTCTCCAGGCTGGTACAGCACAGGATTGGACTGGACCATGTCGTCCACCACGTTGCTCTTGGATATTTCCTTAGAGCGGAACTGCTGCGGGGCAGACAGGTTCTTTCCGTCGTTGTTACCAAGGTGATTGTAGCTCACGATGGACGTTGGCTGTTAAGGAAAAACAGAAATATTGAAGCTTCTTTGTTTTGATATCTTTTTAGTGTTTGGCATTATTCTAAAACGAAATGTAATCTTACCTTGATACCTGCGCTGACCAGGAAGTCCACCAGAACTGACTTGATCTTAGTCTGGCCGGACTTAAAGTCATCTCCGCCAATGAAGACGCCTCGCTGCATGGCGAGCTCGATGGCGCCCAGGATGAAGGTGTTCTGTGGGGCGCCATTGATGTAGGCGCAGCCCTCCAGGATACTGGCCACAGCAAAAAGCGTGGATGGAGAAATTTCTGCTGCTCCAGCCTAAGGAGAAGGAAACACCTTAGAGATGAGAAGAACTGAGGACTTTGTTTGAAGCTGCTCAATGCAGCTACGTGTACGGCTCTCTGTCTCACCTGGATTCCAGCCAACAGGTTCTTGGCTGTGTCGTTGACCCCTGGAACGATGTCAGAGAAGCGCTCTGTGTTAGCCGTCCACAGAACTATGACCTTGTCGACACCACTGGACCGACGGAAGTCTCTAATATCAGCTCTGATCTGCTCCATCTGGAAAAATCAATCACCCTTTTAATAAAGCAGCATTAAGCAAAATATGTAATTCGTGAAAATGTGAGCTGCAGTGTTCCAGAACCTGCTCTGCCATGGTGCCTGTGAGGACATTGTCAGCCCGACTCTCCTGGTTGGCTGCAATGAATTCTGGGATATAGATGGAAGGCCTCGGTTTGAGGCAGCTCATGTACGGTCGCAGCTGCTCCTGCAGGGACCAGTCGAGCACCTGCGCTCGCTCCATCGCTCTGCCCAGATCCAACGAGGAGATGTCCCAACCTGGAAACACAGTCCCATCATGAGACGGACTTATTTAGTTTTCCTAGAACTAATGCAAAACCTGATGTATGCAAATGAATTCACCAGCTGTCAGAGAAATGCAGAATAAATTATGCTACCTTTGTTGAGGATCTAGCACTACTTCATGCATTTAACTTCTTTTGCTGTGCTATATTAGCAATTCATTTATACAAAAAAATGCACATGAAAACAATGTGGGACATAAATTTGGTCTGTATTAGAGGTCAGGAGACCTTGGGCGCCCCCTGCTGGCTACAAGGCCCTAAGCAGCAGCAGTACTTGCCTATACTTATAAAGCCACCTGCTCACATTCATTTCTAACTTTTTAAGCCTAAGCTGTTCAAGATAAGGTTTTGCTACAACCATTTGTCCTAGTCTCTCCTTTTTTCATACATGCGTTCAAGTCTTAAGAAGTGATCTCATGATGTGAATGTCTGGGATTCAACCTACCATCAAAGACGATGTCATTAGGGTGCACCATGGGCAGAAGGTCACGGAAGGGCACGTTGACCTCGCCCTCCAGGCCAGAGCCCAGACAAACAGTAGACGCCTGCAGCAGGGAGCCGAAGTAATTTGCTTTCTAAGGAATAATGGGGAGAGAAAAGGAGAAACTGAGTTCTTTGAAGGTGTAATAAACACTGTTACAGTACATCACACAAAACAGGAAAGGTGGTCTTTATAAGGAGAACACAGGATCTGGCTGACTGATGGGGTAGTGGTGCGTATCTGGGCCCTAATATGGGAACTTTCTCTGGCAGAATCAACACTTCCTGACCAGCTATAGGCAGGGGCGGAGCTAGATGGGGACCAGGGGTAGCCATGGCCACCCTTAGCCAATCATTTGCAACCCCTACCATTTTCTCCCTCTAATACAGATGGTGGCAACTGTAAGACTCTCAAGTGGAATATTAAAAACTTTTATTAAATTTTTCATATATTAACATTTACTTGACAGCAAAACCACTCTGGTTAATTATGCACACCAATATGCTGAAATTAAAGATAAGTACAGAATTTATGCTCTTTTCAGAGCTAGATTTTGTGTTATGTGGGGTAAAGAGAAAATTATATTCTCTGCAAGTCATTTAGGAGTATTCAGTGAAGTCGTAGATAACTATTTTAATAAAAACATATTAAATAATCAATGTATGTAGATATTAGTACCTCTAAATATATATTTTTTTTTTGCAGAATGTATATTGGTAAAAGTAAGTAATGTCAATGGAAAAGATGTTCAATCCAGAACTCAAACCTGAAAGAATTGTATCCACTATATATGCGTCTATTTGTTAACAAAGGCTGTAGGAAAGGATAGTTAGTCTTTTTTTAGAAAATATGGATTATGTGATCATTAATGTTCCTGTTGGAACAGTGTAGATTGACCGTGAGGTTCTGGCGCCTTTCGGCCACCCCTCAGTTTACATTGGTTATTGCCTGGCCACCCTTATAAAGATTTTCAGGGTATAGGAAGCAAAAACCAGAATATACCAAAGTGACAAAGTTTTATTTATGTAAAACATTCAACTAAAAACGTGGATCCTAGTAATATTTAACTTTTTTTGGGTGATAATTTACCCGTCCATCTGATTTCCAAGATGAGCATACTCACCTTTTCTCCATTCTTGGTCCTCCAGGTGAGACCCAGCTTGTTGGCCAAAACAGCGGCTGTGACGGTGGTTCCGTTGTTGCCTCCCCAGCCCACCAGCATCACACCCAGCCGGGGGACGCGCCGCTCAGTCCGGAAAGTCATCTTGGTGCTGCGGGGGGTCACCTGTATAAGCCAGAAAATCAGCTCCAGACACTGAAAACATGCATGCAGGCAGTGGCGGTTCTAAAGCAAATGTTCCAGGGGCCTGGGGTGTGTGTGTGCGTGTGTGTTTTCATAGGGGCACCGAAAAGCATGAAGAAAAAAAAACGGGCAAGGTATTCAAATATATTTAAACAGCTGCATGAAGTGAAATTTCTTCAATTACATTTAATCAAAATTATATGTCTTCTAACTGAAAATATTTATTTTTGGCTCAAAAATTTTCATTTTGGTTATCATTAAAATCTAAATAAAAATCCCTTAGCGTAGCAAAAAAGCAAATCAAGAAATTGTAGCTATATAAATATATAAAAAAAGATAAAATAAAGTAATTATTCTGAGTATTAGGTCAATATACATTCATCATTTAGGAATTTTATATATTTTTAACTTAATTTAAGTTAAAATTATAGTTTTCTATAAAAGTGAAAGTATTTTTTTTATTTGTTTTGAAAAAACAGATGAAAACTAGGATCCTACCTCAATAATTAGTAAAACAGATTTTTTTAAAGAAAAAAAAAATTATTTGATCCAAAGGACCTATCAGAAACCATGTCTGTTCCAGTGCATATAATCATTCGAATTTCTCTTAGTATTATGTCTTCAGTACAGGGGCCCTGGTCCCCCTTGGCCCCTGTCTAGAACCGCCCATGCATTTAGACGTTTTACTGACCGTGACTTTGTTCCCTTCCTGATGCACGGAGGCGGTTTGGTAGGAGTATTGCGCCTCGATGTGAGTCTCAGTGTACTTCACATTGGGGCTGTTGATGTGGATGTTCACCGACATGGCTGCAGAATCTGTAATAAATAAAATAAAATTATATTATAATAGTCATAATAAAACACTTCCTGTTGCTTCTAAGCGTCCGTGAGGTAAGAAATAAAACTAACCAATTTTTTCTTCTTCACGCGGATAAAAAAATTAATCTTTCAGTGAAAGTAGACGGTTGTTGTCTGATGTTCTCCGGGAACAGTTCTGGTCTTTATCTCCTAGAAGCGCAGAGTGTCTTCGGCAGGTTGCTCCTGTTCGCAGATACTATCCAATCAGCGCTTCTCTGTCCCTTTATATAAGCCTCGGGGCTGCAGACAAAAGCCCAGCGCGTGGCGCCGCCAGCCAATAGGAACGCTGCTTCCCAGCCCAGCATTTTCGGGGAGGGACCCGCAAGGCAAAATATTCCACTCTAGAGGGTTCTGATAGCGATGAAAATCTTCCACTGACATCGTTTTAATGCTGGATCTTTCTAGAATTTCTAACTTCACAATGTCAACTTTGTTATTTAGTCACTAGCTGCTTAATTTGATCACTTTTTAACCGAATTTAACAGTTTTTGTAACCTATGATCGAATGGCTTCATTCATTGAAATGAGTGGATATTGTTTCAGAGATATATTAGTTGTTAAATGAACCCCTTGAATGCAAACTGGAATTTTATGTAGATGTCTTTGCATATATGTGTGTTTTCAAGGAATAAATTGAAAATAACCATGGGTTATATCCATCATCCCACAAATGGAATAGATTTGTGTCCAAATATAATCTGACGTTTAGATCCGTGCTGATGTTTATTTTTTTTCATCCACCCTCCTGATTTTAACTGAAACTGCAAAAGGCTGTTTTATCTTTAATTAACCCAGATTATTTGCAGACTTTTCTGCAAGAGATAGACAAAATGCATGACACCAACGATGCTAAAGGATGATTTTAATTGAATTGAAATACTAGCTATACGGTTATAAAGCTATACATGTTTAAAATTAAGTAAGAGATGATTTTTTTGTTTGTTTTTTATTTATGTATTAGTGAAATAAATGCAGACTGCTTAAAACAAGCACATATCTTGGAAATTGAAAAAAAAAGGTTGCATTGATATGTTTCTTTACTTTTATCATAAACAGCACATTAACTTTTGTCCCAAAATAACTGTGATGAATCTAAGGTTTTTTTTATGTTTCATCCCCTGGCAAAGATTAACAGGAAATACAACAAACATTGTGCAAGATCTGCTTACAAATTATGCGAAAGTTTCCATTAAAACGTTTTGTTTTGAAATAACGGTATCATAGGCTGCTGCAAAGTGACTGACTCTAACTGACCAATCACGATCAAGCAGAGATTGTCTCCAGCCAATGGGAGACAGGAAACAAGTCACGGGCTGCGCACGTGCACTGCTTGCTCCTCTGATCCACATCACAGCGAATATGGCTTTGTAGAATAATATGCGGAAAATATAGGTAGATATACCCCGTGTGCGTGTAGTGAAACAGCATTTAAACACCATCCATACGCAATAAGTCAGGATATAGTTATAGATTGAGTTGTATTTGTTTAGAAACCGGTGGAGGCGCTCAGGGAGGAAAATAAGCCGGCCGGTAATCAAGGAAACGAGTATTTTTAATGCAATCATCACAAAGTAGAAAGTCATTCAGATTTATTTATATTTGTGTTATTTTATCTCAAACAGAGTCGGTTATAACGCGATTAGAGTGGGTAAATAGAGCCAGCACCCCTCCCACTCAGTGCAAAAACTAATCCTAAGAGTGGAAAATTCCTTTGTTACATTGCTGGCAGCCGTAAAATGACATAACGCCGTTCATTATTTCTTATATATGAACGCTTATGTTATTTTTGCTTTGTTTTGCCTAACGTTATTTATAAAAATTGTGCTTTATTGTTTTTTTTTTTTTTTTTTTTTTTGCACGCTCTTCTACCAATATATAACCTTTATTTACATAAGTTTGTGATATTACTTATTTTTTGTGCAAAAAAAGGCGGTTGCATTTCAACAAAGGGTTTAGCGCCTTCTCTCTATGGCTTGTTGTCCAAATTTTCCATGAACGTGTCTCTGACTCTCAGCCAATCAGACAGCTTGATGCCCAAACGCCTGACTCTGTGGAGGGCCGGCAGCACGTGGATCAAGGGAAGGAGAGAAGGATCCAGAAGGAACCTGGCCAGCAATTAATCAGAAAGCAAAACATGAAAAGAAGAGAGTATGATTGCTTGAATAAAATCCTCAATATTGTATGTCTGTGAGGCTGACCGGACTGGATCAGCATGACAAGGATGAATAAAAAAAAAAATTGATATACAGGCAGCGGCGTAGGAAGCCCCAAAAATTGTACCGCAAAATATTAGATTTTGACAATTTTTTTAACTATCGTGCTTTTATTTTGAAGGCGCAGCATAGCGTTACGTCACTGTACTCCCCCTCCCCTCTGTGAACTGTTGAGTGTTTGAGCACTCAGAGGGAAACAGCGATACAGAAAGTCAGAAACTTGTGGATGAGGTAAAATGGTCTGTCGGGAATGCTGCTATGAATATTGCTTATTTATAACGTCTTGTTGTCAGTTCACTTTCATATATAGAAACTGAATCTTTTTGGTTTAGGCATCTTAGTCTTGTAGGAAGAGGATTAGGGCCACTGAAAAAAGTTAACTGATTTTTAATTTTTTTTAGTTTAACATGGGGGAAAAAGTCAGAATTCTGACTTTTCTCAGAATTCTGACTTTTTTCTCAGATTTCTGACTTTAATCTCAGAATTCTGACTTTTTTCTCAGAAATCTGACAGATGATTAATGTTTCTAATCAATTTACATTTTTTTTTGGTGGTGGGTGGGCGGGGGGCGGGGGTACTATACAGATATATAAAAACAAGAAGGTCTAACTAAAAAATAACCAGAATATATGTTTAGAGTAAAGATTGACTACTTGTGTTTACACAAGCACACAATTTCAAATCTGCTGAGCTTGCTGTGCAAGAAAATGTAAAATATACGTATAAAGAAATATAACAGGAAGTACTGCTAAAACAAACTAAATGTTAAATAATGTAGATATTGGTTTAAAAAATTCTTCAGATTTGGAAATTTGGAAGGAATACATAATTCTGAAATTAATCAACAAATCTGGTAAAAAAATAAAATAAATAAAAAATAAAAGTTGCACTTTTTTACTTGAGGAATTTGTTGAATAACTTCATAACTATGAGTTTAACTAGTTGGAGGTAATGCTACACTTCTCTGCTTCCTGTCCTGCTCATAAAAGGTAAACATTATAAACCCACCATTCATTTTCTACACTATTTGGAAAACACAACACAAATGTAATATAACAAAAGTATGTTTAACAACAAACATGTTAGCATCAAGCCATAGCCATGTCTCTTTTAGAGACTAGATCTCTTGTTTTAATGACCTTCTGCTCCTCCATTAATGGGGGGACCCCTCGGGCACGTAAAAAGTTGCCTAATTCTGTCATTTTCCACCAATGTGTCTCTGGCTCTCTCAAACAACTCACATCTTTGTCAGTGAAGCTGAGTGCTCCACATCTCTGCCTTCATGGTGCCCATCTACATTAAGATCCAAAATTCTGAGAAAAAAAGTCAGAATTCTGAGGGAAAAAAAGTCTTAATTCTGAAATAAAAGTCGGAATTCTGACTTTTTCCCGTATTAAACTGAAACAAAATGTAAAAATCACTTAACTTTTTTTTTCCAGTGGCCCTAATCCTCTTCCGTAGTCTTGGGCTGATCACTCATCCAATATTTAACTGCTAACTTTCTCTAGACGATTGCCACGCTAGCCAAAATGTTTTTTTTATATATTTTTTTTTATATCTCATTTCAGTACAATGCCACCACCAACTAAAAGGCTGAAACAGCAGCAGGACTTACTCATATTTTTTTAAAAGAGAAACGTCAGTGTGAGTAACAGTCACCTAACACAACTTGTGTTGAAATTAGCCCGGTCTGGGCGTGCGTTTTACGAGGATTTTTTATTTTTTGCATGGTTTTGATTCGCCGAAATGGACAGATGTTATACCTGCCGTGCTCCTGATCGTTAGTTAACCACAGGGAGAATTAATTCTAATTCTTAGCAGTGGCGGCCGCATTGGTCGTGCAGTGGACTGCTGCACAACCACTAATTAACCAACTAATTAACTTCTGCATCTTTATTTCCTCAAATAAACTGCTGGCTCCTCTTTTTAGACTATAAACAGATTAACACAACATTGACAACTCTGTAGTTTTCTCTGTTCTGTACTGCAAATTGGAATTAAAGGCGCCATTTCTACCAAAGGTCTGGACAGACTGGCCACCTGTCTAGGGTGGACCCCGCACCAGCACCTCCCGACCCCACTAAGGGACAGGGTGTACAGAAAATGGAAGGATGGATGGATTTCTACCAAAGGTTGATAATGCGTTTTTGAACCAGATGCTTCAAAGCGCCCTGTCCATAATTCTTCAACACACTGTCAGCTCCCTATGTCAGTCAACCTATATAAATTCATTTTTGACCATTATTGCAAGTTTGACAAAATAAAACATATCAAACTTTGCACTTGTGTGGCCTACTGAATCGTTTTGATTTTCTAGTGCGTATGCGGACACTAAATATGCCAAGGGCTGAAGCCCTTGAAAGACATCTCCCTTTGCTTAATAAAAGACTCCAGTCATTTTGTTTGGTGATATGCTCACATCTTATGAACAAATGCATTATGTTAATTTTAAATGCATTATTTTTGCAAACACATTTATAAAGGAATAAAGTAAAAGATTAAATAGCCTTTTTTTAAGTAGCGTACTTAAGATATGTTTCTGTTGAATATTTACGAATCTCAGATTTCCGACATGTGTCCCCCCCAATTGTAAACATATTCCTACGCCCTTGTATACAGGCACTGCTAGTAGGAAGCTGACAAAAGATGGATGCTGAACAATTGGGGTATCTGGAAATACAGATATAGGAAAAAAGCAAATAGCCTTAATTCCTGAGCGTTAGAAAACCTGGTCAGATGGATTAATAAAGACAATTTAGTGTGAGGGATTCCATTCGAGTCAATGAGTCGATGCAATCAACTGGTTTTCCTTAGATAGAAAACTTTGAATCAATTTGACTGTATGATCTGGTGAACTGTAAAGTGCTTTGAGATAACATGTGTTGTGAATTGGCGCTATATAAGCAAACTGAATAGAATTGAATTTTCCCCTCTTTGTGACTTCCCTTCAGGCCTTGCCATTCAGAGCCAAATTAAACATTTTCCACATCTAAAACCAT